TCATTCCTTGTACAAGACTGTTTGGAAACATCTGTTACGCATGCCCATTCTAGTCAATACAAACTTACAGTTATCTTCTTTGATATTGCCCATCACTGACCTTTCAAACCGGTTGTCATTGGAAAAGATGTAACGGATAATTTCTATGAATTTCCTTCACCCAGCAAAGATATTGATGCCATCACTTTAGGCAATATTCTTCGTCATAGATCTGTCCAATCGAGAATAACTCCCTTCTTTAAAGACCAGTCTGTTCCAATCATCTTTTATGCATTCTTTTATGCCTATACCACACATATTGCGACTAAAATTTTCAACTACTAACTCGTTTTGCTGGAACTCAATATTGAAGACTTCAAAAGACTAAACCTCCTGATTTCACTTAATTGTTAAAGTTTCTAATTCATATACAACCCGACTAACCACGTTATAACTGGTGAGCAATACAAATCTACGAAATGTGTTTCCCAATTGCTCGAAATATCTTGAGCCTAAATCCATAAACTGAAAACACAACTTTAAAATACTAATAAATTCTGTCGAGGATTATGCCAGACAAGGGATAAAAAGTGAATAAACAAAGACGTTGATACTCTTTTTGAATGTGTTAAAGTTGTGACGTCATTGAAGAAAATAAGAATCAACAACATCGGTATACGAATATTCATGCAACTTGTAACTCCCTCAGGCAAAGTTGACCTTTTATGGATTTGGCTGGTTTTTTTTAGGTTCTTTTTGGTTGTATAGCTCTTCAACTGTTTCGGTTCTTATACATCCTTAGTTTTCAAATATTTGGCATTGAGCGTTCCTGATAAAGGTAAATCCAGAAAAGCAATTCGGACGCATAAAATTTATAACGTGTTGTTTTCATTTTTTAATGACCAAAATTGTGCTAGACAGTTGTCCTACCTCCATGATGAATATGTTGCTGTCCTCGCATACAAAGCCCAGAATAATATCATTTTTGCTTGTAATTCACACTTTAAATGCCAATCTGCCTAAGAATCAGGCAGTGGTGAAAACAAGACAAACAAAAACCCACTCAAGTTTACATTAATTTAAGTTCAAATTGTATAATGGTGCATGAATATAACATTCGTTTCCTTTGCCTGTTCTGGTAATTCAAGATATAATTTGGTTGAAATGCACTAGAAATTAAAAATTAAAGGGAGCTAACTCCGTAATTTGCTATCATTCTAACCAAAAGTTATCTAGAGATTTCTCGAAATACCAGACACGCAGAAATGAAAGACCTACCAGTTCTAACTCGGGATGAAGGTAACTTCAAGACAGGATGGTTTTGAAATTTTTCTAAATTGCCTGATTCTTACAAAGACTGGCACTTTAAAATAATTCTATATAAAGGTATTAACAATTCACTTGGAAACTCAACATATTCACTCACGACACTCACTAAGGAGGAAAAACTGGAATTTCATACCCAAATTACAAAACTGTTTACTCTTTTGAAATTGCTATGTGAATATGATGTTGATAACTTAAAAATCCAATGATCTGAGTACAATGTACATACAATCTACGTTTATAGACTTCTTGATTGACAACATATTTGTTACGTTTGTAGGACGTATTTTTAGCTCACCTGGCCGAATTTTACCATTTTTGCGTTTCTGATTAGTATCTTACAAAATCTTCTCCTCTGAAACTACTGGGCCGAATTTAACCAACCTTGGCCATAATCATGATAAGGGTATATAGTTTTTTAAAATATGTCCGATGACCCCGTCCGCAAAAAAACATGACCGATATGGTTAAAAATTGAACATAGGGGTAAAATGCAAGTTTTTTCTATTATCTTGAAAAAGTTAAATATAAAAAATACCGAACTCCAAGGAAAATTCAAAACGGAAACTGTTATGAAAATCTGACAGGGGTAGAAATGTTCAAAATATTAAGATCTATCTGCTGTCAGACGACTTCTTTTATGAGTTATTGCCATTAAATGTAAAATTTTACCATTTTTTTTTTCATTTTTGCTGATTATTTTGAAAACTATAATATATAGAAAGAATATTTAGAAAGAAATTGTGTTCAGCAAGAAAAGATTTACAAATAAGACAATATGGCTGAAATCGGCAGGCGACTCCTTATTGTAGTTATTGCTAAATAATCATTTTTTCAATTTATTTGCGTTTTTTGTGTAAGATCTGTAATACTGTGGATTCATTTATTTTCGTGTGTACCAGTTTTCATGGATTGAGGAAAACTTGCACTTTCGTGGATATTTGATTTCGTGGTTTTCCAAAAGTCTGCATATATTCATAAGGCAAATTTGTAATTCGTTGAATATTTCAATTCGTGGTTTCGCTGTACCCACGAAATCAACGAAAATTGGTATCCAACGAATAATAATGAATCCACAGCAAAAATTATCAACAGGACAAGATCTACAAAACGTCAATATGACAAAAATTGTCAGTTAACTCTTTATAAGAGTTATTTCCCTTTCATGATGATTTTTATCCAAAAAAATTGCCATTGTTGAAGATGGAGGTGAGCGATACAGACTCTTTAGAGACTATAGTTCAACAAACAAATGACATTCCTGACGGTGTTGCTCTTCTTGCCAACTTTTTACTTTATTCGTGCAAAAACTATTATCCTTAAACTTCAAGTTTCTGTATATAGATTTGATTTTGATTTCAAACGTATATTTTATTCATTAATATATCAAAAGGATTGAGCAACAGGCACAGCCTATAAAACATCTCTCCATATCACATGTACAAGGTATAAATCAAATATTATCAACTGTATTTGAAATAATATAACTATATGAGGAAATGCATGCTACTTATGAGCACACACAAACAAATACATATTTACAGTGTTAATTACTAAATGTATATTATATTTAAGTGTGTAGGTAATTGATCATAATCAATTCAAGTATTCACCTTATGTATTATGGACATGTATATATCATTTATAAGTCATTAGAAATATATATATATATATATATATATATATAAGATTTGGAAGAGACACTAAGCTTACTTAGTGGAATAAATGAAATAATGTGGGGGGTGGGGGATGGGAGGAAAGAAATTAAAAAATAATATTAATATCATACGAAGAAAAAATCTATAACTTTATGTATTTTCTAACCATGACAAGAATATTAAAATGGAATTGTGTTTGTAATGATGTTAATATTTGTATTATCTAACCATGTCGGTTTTTCTTATAAATCAAAACGGTGTATAAACAAAAAAATCCTGTGCATATAGTAGCTTTAAACTTAACATTATAAAAATGAAATAGCTGATTTATTATCTTAACTTTTACATACATATAGAAAATGAAAATAAAATAACAGTACAATAAGGCAAGATGATGTAAGACCAAACAGTAAACACACTTGAAAACAAATAACATAAAACAAAAACACTGTAGACGAACCACGTGTAACTCGACTATACTGACAAACAAGACATATGTGATATGTACCGAAAATACAGAATTTATACCACAAACGATAAGACATAACACAATATCTAACCAGACTTACAGAAAACATCATAACTAAATACATGAATGTTGGATGTATAAATACCAAGACCCGTCGTATATATAGCAATGCGAATTCACACTCGGCAAAACAGTCATATTCCGTAATAGGTCACGTTCGGTACTTAGCAGACCAGACGTAGATGGTTAACCACAATCTAAGACGTGTTAAAATGTCGTTAGTTAGTTTAGACACAGACACATCGTATAAATCAACCAATTCGTGATGGTGTCCATAAAATTTACGGAGTTTTATTTTTAATCTTTCCTCCTCATAACTCTGTCGGAGCACTTTTTGCGTAAGGAGCACACTCCTGTATATGAAGTCAGTAAAGTGTGAAAATGCACGAGCATAAATTATCAGTTGAGATATGTAAACACCATACGATGGAACAGAGGGTATGTTACTGCTGAGAAATGGGAAATTGATAATAGGGAAGTTGAAATCATCCCGTTTGTCATAGATTTTTGTGTAAAGTCGTCCATCTGTGTCAATATTGAGGAAAAGATCAAGGTATGAAGCAGTCCTTCTAGTATCAGTAGTATCCTTAATTTCAAATTCACTGGGATATATGAGATGCAAGTACTGACTGAAATATGGGTTATTCAGTGATAGGACATCATCGATATATCTGAAAGTAAAATTAAAGAATTTCGCAAGGTGCTTTTTCTTTTTATCAATGACTGATATTATATCTCCTTATGTCATAATTAAAAGGTTTGAATAGCTCATCAGTCCTATAAAAAAATTGTCGAGTCCACTTCTGAATAAACATTTGTGGCTGGACTAACTCCTATAAGTATGGAGGTGTCATCCCATTTAATATTTTATAAAACAGATTAGGCTTATATTTATTTCGTCTATTCTCCAGAGTTTCTAATCCTAATTCAATATAAAGTTTATGTCTTAAGGAATTACGTCACAGCCTAGTAATAATTCTTGCAGCTTCTATTTGAATATTTTCAAGAAGTTCGGACTCGTACTGAGAGCAGTTGCCCCAAACAACATCACCATACTTTTAATATAGGTCTAATAAAAGCATATTTAATACGTATAAGTGAATTCATGTATAATAAATGTTTAACTGTTCTATCAATACAATAAGAAACAAAGTTTGATGACTATGATGAACGCATCTATTATCCGAACTTGAAATAAATGATGCCACATATACAGCTAAGTCTGCTTCCTATCTTGACTTATTAGTAAATCATATACTTTGACAATGAGGGTCGATTGAGAACTTAAAACACGAAGTGTAAGACTTTAGTGTTTCTTTCTAGTTACTTCCCATTTCAAGTATAAATTATATACAAATCTTGTCTTGTACTGCATGTTACATGTAGATCTAACAAATTTTGATATCAATTTTTATAAATTATCTTAAAAGGTAACTTGTTGTTACTGACACTTTCTTACACACACAAACACCTGTACTATTTTAAATATAAATTTATCAATGATTAATCGCATCATTGATTATATGGGTAGGCTACTAAGTCATATACCTTTTAAATGAAAAACCTGTGACCTTACCTTTATATTGAACATTTGGATGATACATGTATCATCAACGGATTTTAATGATTAAACGTAAGTACAAAGTATATAAAGTGAACCACATATTTTATTCAAGTTAATGTATTATAGTTAAATTGCCATTTTACGCACTTATTTCAAACATTCCATTTATTCCAAATTAAACAGATAAACATGTTCCTGGTTCATAAAGTAAAGACAAACGGCAAATGATCGTATGCTTAAGTTCGTAGCAAAATTCAACTACACCAATAACGAAACAACACACAAAACACATGCTAACATATATAAGCAGTTTTGACTAATTTAAAAAAGTAGACATTTTAAAAGTTCAAATATTTTGCTGTTTGTTAACTTTGATCATACGTCATGAAATTCAAGCCAAAAAATCGCTTTGTCATACATACGTTTTTATCTATTTTCTTACCAAATTTTCGAAAAACTAGGTGAGATGGTGTTTTGACTCCTTCATGTCCTCAGTGCGTAGTGTACATTAATCAGTAGCGCTGCATGGTATGCACATGTTCCACACGTTGAGAATATGCACGGAATATTTGCCACTGAGCGTTAAGCAAACAACAAAAAATAGATCAATCATTTGTAGTAAAATTTATACTTTCCCCACTGAATACTCTAAAGAAGGGATAAAATGAATATCATGAATTAGTCAAAATATTTACTAAATATTTATCAATTAAACATTATATTTTTGTTATGAGATCAGTGCATTTTGTATTTTTATATAATTTAGTTTTGGATGTAACGCGTCCTCCGATTGGCTGACGTTGTTTTGTTTATCAGCTCATAGACATAATTTTGTCATGTGACCTTGACGTCATCAACGTTTTTTCATGATTTACTCAGGTTTAAAATGGAATTAGGATTGAATTATAAGAAATGACTGTAATATTTTTTTCTGTCTATTCGAAATAACATAAAAAATGTGGTGCACACTATAAATAACCAGTATAATATTCAGTGTGCACCACATTTTTGATGTTATTTCTTCATAGACAGAAAAAATATTACAGTCATTCCTTAAGAGGATGCCATTGAGGGAATTCGAACTTAGTTCAGACTTTTCTTTATCCGTCTTGTAGTTTCATTCATGTCTTTAGAAAAACAGAAAAGACCGAAGATGCACATAACGGATTTCTTATTACTAAATACCTTATTTGGTAGAATAAAGCATCTGCGAAAACGTATTATCAAATTTCATACCACGAAATTCACAAATGATCATCCCAAATTAATGAGAATTCGTTGTTACAGATTTAAGAAATCCGTGATAAATTTTTTTTATAATCGTTATAATGATTTTTACAACGATTTTTGAATTCGTTATGTCAAATTAAATTCGTAAAAGCAAATTGTAAAAACTGTATTTACGAATTCATTAAATCCATTCCAATATAGAATGACCAGTGTTATAAGAGACAGAAGATAACAATAAAAATCTTTAGTCGAAGAAAAACCGACAAAAAACGAAAAACAACGAAAGACAATCAACAGTCCGGAAGTGTAAGCAGATCTGATCTGCATATGGTATTCGTGGTGATGCTCGTCGTAATGCGCAAATCGTAATAACGAATAGGTCTAAAAAGGGCTCCGTTCCGCATGTTTCAATAATTTAAAAAAACGACCATTTAACCATATTGATAAACAATGCAAAAATGACAGCAGTGCATTTGACTAGATAAAAAACACCTTTTGGAGTTCATACGATTCTCTAGGCTTTTGTTTGTTACCTTGATTTGTCTCTACCAAATCGATTTACGAGATTTGACCATCGGTAAACTACTTTCGTCTTAATTTATTCAACTTTTACATGGAACTGAAACTCGGGTAAAATATATCATTGCGTATACAAATAGGATATAGATACCAGTATCTAGTAAACATTTACAAAATCAATGATAAATATGTAATCAAATGGTCGATGAAATTGACTTAATTCAATCCGTATTTTATACATACTCTAGTAAGATGCAGTTCAAGTATCATACTGAATATACAAATGTACCTAGTAAAAGATGCAATCCCAGAAGAGTCTAAATCAGAATGTAAACATTATATAGTGACATATGCATTTTTTGATTTTAGAGGACTGCAGTAAATAATGGCTGATAAGTACGAAGATGAGATGCCATATGCTGAAGTGGGATCACCGACTCGTCAACTTTATATTAATATTCCTGCACGACAAGAAAAACATTCTGTGGCACCACCCTTGCCACCCAGAAGACAAACCACCTTGCCAAAGTCATCAGAAGACATCAAATACAACAATACAACTAGCGTACTTAGAGACCGGCATGATTCCAGAGGTCATTTAACTGATTCTCAGCCGAATCTGCATAGCAACAATTTAAGCTTAAATCGCTCTTTCGGGTCAACGGCTTCCGTACACACCGTAAACGATATATCAACATTTCCAAGGAGAGGGTTTCAAAGCAATGGTGGATCCCCAGAAACCAACTGTAGCCGTATATATTATAGCATTAATTCTTCATCTGGGGGATTAAATCGCGTTCCTTCAGAATATCAACTGTTTTCAGATCTACCGATATCAAGGGGATTTCAAAATACCACAACCAACCATTTTGTGTCTACAAAAAGGTTAGAATCAGATGAAAATATTTCTGGGATATTCGTGAAAGACTCTTTGCACTTCCCATCCGGTAAGCATATCAAAAGGAAAAAAATAGTTGTATATATGTGTAATGTCCTGATTTTCAAGGTTGCTTTAGAAGAAACACTCAAGAGCTTTGCAGACTAAATATATGGAAGCTCTGTGGTATAAAGCTCACATAAGTTTTACAAAGTTGTGATGATTTTAATCACTTCTGTATAATTTTTACAGCGATTAACATGGGATGTTTAAAATACGCCAATGCCACCATATCCCAACGATACAAAGAAACAAAAAGTTATCTATGGGTCAACCGATAACAGTGGTTTTTATTTGAACTGGTACTGGATATGAAAAAATTGAACTGGTACTAAATATGAAAAATCTTAACTGGTGCTGAACATAAATTCTTTTATGTTTGTGGCTTGTTATCCTTTCCTTCTATATGAAGATATATTTCTAGTAGCACGTGCAATGAGCGGAGTGTGATTTGAATAAGTGATACCGAAAATAAGTTCAATTCGTTAGCCTATCTATTAAATGTTAAGAAAATGCGACAATCCCATTGGCATTTCGTTATACATGTCAATCATTACTTTTACAAGGTCACAACGAACTTAATTTTCCTCCTTTGCAACGGTTTTCTTTGATTTCTTCAAAAATATTCAAACAACTTGCATGTCTCACCTGAAAATATTGTTATTGTCAATTCTTATTCCATTCTGAAGCATACAAAAGGAAAACGTATAATGTTCACAATAGTCTTGGTTTCTGACATATTATACCCAACACCGTAGGCGGACGCTTGCGAAATCGAAAATATTTCACTATAGGACAAAGTATTTTTTATCGTAAGAGAATAAGGTTTGAAAATTAGTGAGCAATATATATCGATTGGTACCAACTTACGTCATATAATTTAATTCTGTTTTACTCGAAAAGGGCTCGTATATTATAGTGAAATTTTAAGGATGTTCGCTACTGTGTTTCAAAATAACAAGCTTTTTAAAAGACTGTTCTAAAATGATAGTATATAGATAAAGGAAATAAAAAGCAGAAAAAAGAAGGCTCCGTGTGCTTGTTTTCGAGATATATAAGCCATTCAAAATTTGGCGGGAAATGATTCTCTCTAGACTTTTCATACTTTTAACATTGACCGCTTTTTTGTTTCAAAAACTATGAACATTTTTATTAATGGTAATACTTGGATAAAACCATAGGACTTCGAAAATCTGGCAAAAATTAAAAAAAAACAAGAAGAGCAAACATCCTTAAAATAACTCGAGTTGATATCAAGCGATACCAAATCGCTCGTTATGAAATCTCCTTCTAAATATCTCGTATTACGATAATATAACAATGAAAATCCGTAGTGCACCTTTACACATTTATGCAAAACTGCATTGTTGTACAGTTTCGGTTAGAATATTAAGGATACTTTTGCAAACCAACATAAAATGTAAAAAGTACAAGTTACTCAAACATAAAAAGTAGATGGTAAACCATTTTTTGGAAGCTAGTTGATTATGTTCTGAATTGACACTTAGACAAATTAACAGTCTTTTATTTTAATAAATAGTGAGTTTGGGAAGTAGATGAACTTTGTTTCTGTAACGTGTTATTAAAACAATGAAAACTGAAGTGCTATACAAATTTGACCTGTGACATTTACCAAAAAAAAAGGAAATAACGAAAATACAAAACTCCAAGGAAAATTAAAAACAAAAAAAATCCCTTATCAAATGGCAAAATCAAAAGCTCAAACACATCAAACGAATGGAAACAACTGTCAAACAGTCTTCAACGTTCGCTGCTATGCTTAACCATACTGAGTGTATCTTCTAAATATATATGATTTTCCGATCAAAGGATAAACCAGTTAGTACCTTCGTGACCTAATAGATAAAAATTGAATTGCTATTTATTAATGCAGTTTTTATGTCTTAACTACCTACGTTCTTGTCAACCTGACCCCTTTTCAAAGACAATATATTGCAATTCTCGTGAATAACCTTGACCATGATTATATCTTTAGAATCTGCAATCTTTTGTGTAAAGCGTACACATGAAATATGCTTTCTCATTTCAGAAAACTGGTCACAAACAATTGACGAATTGATTGCCCTATACATAGAACTTGAAATGGAGGATTCCCGTAAACAGGACTTTAAGAGGCATATTGTAACTCGAGTATTGCCGCGACTGAGACGCACTGATATTGCAGGAATGACGAAGCTCTTGCACATAGGTAGTAAAAACATCACAGAAATTGTAGTTCCTGTATTAATTGAAGAAACGATAGAAATAGATTTACGATCTGTGAATGTAGTAACTTTGTATCAAGCATTTAATTCAGTGGTCGAAGTCTTCACCAATTCATCTCTCGATCTTCTTTTGGTTTTATTCAATTTAGCATCAATTATTCGAATGAAATATAATGAAAATCAAAAACCTCAGAGAAAAAATATTTGCAAAAAATGCCTGGACAGGTGTAAATCTCTTAGCTCGTTCAAAATGTGCAATTCGATGAATGCACTGAAGTTGTTTACTGAACAGTTTAAATCATCAACGAAATGGGAACTTCCTAGGAGCAATACAGAAGGAGGAAAAAGTTTACAGACGATGAATTTTGTAGACCTGTATTCATATTTGTATGGGCTCTTAAACAAGGTAAGACCTACACTTTTCTTGGTCCATTATGTTTAATCAACTTATAACAATTCTAAACTGTTGTACTTCATGGCGAGATAGATATTGTGTAAAATTCAAGTGTAAAATTCAATTAAAACTTCTGATAATATATTCATATAAAATCCGACTGGCCAAATAATACTGGTGAACTTTACATTGTTAACAAAACTTCTCTGCGAAATGTGTTATTAATAACCAAAGGGCATACATCCATAAATTGAACACACAACTTTGAAACTCAAAATATATATAAATAGAATCAGTTGAGGATGGAAGGTAATGGGATAAACGTAAAATAGAAGAAGTAGATTATCTTTTCAAATGAGTTATGGCTGTGCGGTCGTTGATAAAAATCAGAAGTAAAACTATTGATAATAAAGTATTGACAATTCACTTGGAAACTGAACATATTCTCACATGACACTTACCCATTTGTTATCCATTCGTTTGATGTGTTTGTTTTTTTTTATTTTGCCATTTGATTGGGGACTTTCCTTTTTGAATTTTCCTCGGAGTTCAGTATTTTTGTGATTTTACTTTTTACTAAGGAGGTAAACCTGAATATTTCATTAAAATTTCAACCAAAGACGAAGAATACCAAAATTACTATAAATGACCTTACACACAACGTTATATTGCTTGGTTTGCCAAATGCTCCACGAAATCTCTTTCCAAATGATTAATTATCAGCAACCAAATCCGGGTATTGTAAGAACGATGAGATTTGGGATGAGAACAAATCTTTACGACAAAAGAAAAAAAAAATGATTTAAGCTTTCTATTTCTATGTATTGTCACCTACACACATCTTTGCTCTATATTTAAAATAAAACTAAGTTTTTTCTAAATATTGTTAAATCATTAATCATGTTAATGGTTGGATTTTTTTAAACAAACCATGTTTGAAAGACTTAAGTATATATATTTGTTTACCTAGTCATAAATATTTCCTTTTTTTTTGTTTTGTTTTCGACTGATGTGAACCTGAAAAATATATTCTTTTACAATTCAGTATTGTTGAATATATTATAGCAAATTGCCGGACAAAAGATTAAACTGGTGTTATTATGACCAGGAAATGAAAACGCCTCACAATTTCATGTCAGCAAGGATTTGTATAGTAAATTTAGTAAATACAGGAGATTTTGTATAGAAGTATTATACAAATCTTTGATGTTATGTAACAGATATTGCTCGATATTTTATTTCATTACGTTTCGTATATTTCGAATCCCAAGGTAAACACTTTTTTTTTCTATTCTTTTGTGAATAATGTAACCAGTCATCTACAATATTTTTTTAGATATTCCTTTCTGTTAAGACTACAGATAATAAGTATGTGGATGAACTGAAGCGTACTACTGCACATCTTGTTGAAAAGAAGCACAAGCCTCAATCAGATAGTGGTACTATACAGGAAATAACATTAAGATTAATAACTACTGCTTGTTTTCTTCTTCTCAAAAATGGTAAGAAAGTGGTACTTTACAGGAGATAATTTTAAGATTAATAACTACCGCTTGTTTACTTCTTCTCAAAAATTATAAGATGGTTGTGTTTTAGGTTACAACCACTCATTATTATCACCTTGTCCTTTAGTAAATTTTTTCCATTCGTCTGTATGTCCATAACAAATATTTCGTTACATTGTCGCAGAAACTACTGAACAAAATGACTTCTTATATGGACAGAGTTTTGGCAATAATGAGTTGCAACGTGTGAGTTTCAAATAGGTCAGATACCAACTTCTGGTTCGTATTACATGTCAGTGTCATATTTATAGGCTTCATAACGAGTACGAATGGGATATAACTCGGAGTTATTTACTTTCAGTATGATAATAATTGAGCATTGTGCGAGTGTATCATTACTATTTAAATCTAATAACAAGAGTTGATATCAAGTGATAGCCAATTCTCATGAGTTGTTAAACTTATTTTTCTTATGGTGAACATTTTCATTGTAACTGTTAAATTAAGAATTCCGGAATCCTTGATCTTTAAATTTTAGCACTAGGTCATCAACACGTATTTTAAAATTGAGAATGGAAATGGGGAATGTGTCAAAGAGACAACAACCCGACCAAAGAGCAGAAAACAGGCGAAGGCAACCAATGGGTCTTCAACACAGCGCGAAAATCCCGCACCTGGAGGCGGGCTTCAGCTGGCCCCTTAACAAAATGTGTACTAGTTCAATGAAAATCGACGTCACACTAAACTTCAAAACATATAAACGAACTAAAACTAAAAAAAAACATACAAGACTAACAAAGGCCAAAGGCTCCTGACTTGGGACAGGCGCAAGAATGCGGCGGGGTTAAACATGTTTTGTGAGAGCTCAACCCTCCCCTTTACCTCTAGCCAATGTAGAATAAACAAACACACAGCAATACGCAAAGTAAAACCCAGTTTAAAGGAAGTCCAAGTCCGATGTCAGAATAGGTAACAAAAGAAACTAAGCAAAATGACAATGATACATAAATTAACAAGGGACTACAAGCAGTTACTGACATGCCAGCTCCAGATCTCAATTAAACTGATTGAAAGATTATGTCTTCATCATATGAAAATCAAGCAATATCCCTCCCGTTAGGGGATTAGTATTATATCATCATAAAATATATGAGAAGAACATAACCTGTATCATGCCAACAACTGGATTTAGAATAAATGTGTTTATTTCCGATGCAAAGACCATATGAGTGAATCAATATTAATACCAAAATATGCCATCTTTAATGATCTGACAACAGTGTCATAACTATATCCCTTCTGAATAAGTCTGTTGAAAGGTTTGGTTAGCTTTTGAGGTGAATGTCGACATTTTTGTGCTTTGTATAGAATATTACCATAAAAGTTTGGTTGTGAAATACCCGAACGTATAAGATGTCTGCATGTTGATTTACATTTACGAATGATGTCCATGTACCGATGATAAAATTTAGTAAATGTTTTGACTAGTTTGTGATATCGAAAACCCTGGTGTAATAATGTTTCAGTAATACAGAGGTTTCTTCCGTTAAAATCAAATACGTTGTTACATACACGAGCGAATCGAACAAGTTGAGATATATAAACACCATAAGATGGCGACAAGGGAACGTCACCATCTAAAAATGGATAATTAACTATAGGAAATGAAAAATCATCTCTTTTATCATACATTTTGGTTTTAATCTTCCCGTTAAAGATATAGTTATCAAAATCAAGGAAAGGGCAGTGTTCATTGTTAGTATTAGCTTTATTTAAAGTCAGTTCAGAAAGATAAATCTCTTTAGTGTACATACTGAAGTCGTCATTATTGAGAGCCAATATATCATCCAAATATCTAAAAGTGTTATTGAATTTTTGTATCAGATGTTGTTTCAAAGGGACTTTGCTGATTTTAGTCATAAATTGTAACTCATAACAATACAGAAACAGATCCGCAATAAGTAGTGCACAGTTAGTCCCCATTGGAATTCCGATAGCTTAACGATGTACAGAATCTCCATAGCGAACAAAAATGTTATCTAGTAAAAATTCAAGGGCAGTTTTCGTATCAAAGCAGGTTCAATTGACATAGTTCTAAACTTCATTGTACGCTTCAAACAGTAATACAAGTTAAAAAAAAGAAGGTATTCTGATAAAAAGTGTAAGTTTTTGTATATTTTTGACGAAATAACATATTTTCCTTGTCATGGGCGAAATTTACATCGTGTCAACCTTTGTAATAAATCCATGACCTAACAAAGAACCGATGGAAATGTAGCAATATCGTCTCTTGGTGTTGGATCACCAAATCAAATTGAACTAATGTTTCGGTATGGAGTGTGATACGAGAAATATATCTTCATGAGAGAAACAGACAACAGGCCTCAAACATTAGAGGAATACACATAACACTGTTACTTGCTATGCTTTAGGAAAATTGATGATGTTAAATCATTATGCATATATGCACAAATCTAAATTAAAGGTGATAAACAATTTATCATTTAATGTACATGACTAGATATCATTTTTTTTAGATAGATTTTACTGCAAACAAACATTGACTTATAGTCAAACAAATAGGATTACTTAGAATGACTATGTATAATGCAAGATAGTATCTTTACTACGCTCAAAAGTAGATCAAAATTTAATTGAAACAAACAGAGAAATATCATGTATCAGTATTTTTAGTAAAATCAGTAGTACAACGAGGGAAACATGTCTTGTTTTTATAGTTTCGTGCATGTAAAAAGTAAAATAACAAAAATACCAAACTCAAAGGAAAACTAAAATGGAAAGTCCATTAATAAATGGCAAAATCAAAAACTCAAACACTTCAAACGAATTGAAAAAAAACTGTCATATTCCTATATTATATATCATATTATATATCAGGCAAAATATTTGTTTAGAGTAATGCAATTAAATAAACCCTAAACTGACTAAATATATGTGTCCCCAGGTCGCAGCGCATTTCGAAAAAAAAGGGGGGGGCAGAAGAAGGAATACAATTATAGGACGTCCTGTTCGTGTGTCTGTCTGTCCGGTCTTACAAGCGTTTTCCGCGTACATGTCTTGCCAGATTTTTTTTTTATGAAATTAGAGTTTTATATCAGCAATGTCTCAGACAATCTCAGAAGTCATTGGTGATCAACTCTGTACTAAAGAGTTATGCCACTATGTGATCTGTGCGTCCGTCTTTTCGGGTTTGCACTTGGACAGATACAATATGAGCAGTGACGATGGAAATTTAAAAGCTATAATTATATTTACATATTTTTTATGAACGACACCAATTTCTGTACTTTATATATATATATACTAGATGTTTCATTCGTTCATATTAAGCTTACACCTGAAAATTAACCAACCCAGATAAATGAGATTTCTTTGCTCCATAAGAAAAAAATGAAATCTTTAATTTCAGCATGTAAAGCTTTATAATTAGACATCAAAACAAACTCTAAGGTTGATCTTACTCATGCTGAATTATAGTTTTCGTGTGATCGTTGGGGTACCAGTTTTATATTAATGAAAATAACACATTATAGTCGTGTTTTCGAAATGTTTTTCAGGATTTTCAGTAATTGTTAAAAAAGTGATAAAATTTTTGTACTTATACAACCAAGATATGTATGACTTAGAAAGTGTAACAATTTTGATGAACGGTGGTGAATAGCTTCGACTTTCATTTACCATTACCAATAAAGATATAGGCTAAATGTTTAAAAAAAATCAATGAAACGACAACATCTAAAGAATTCTTTTTAAATTCTTCGTAAAAGTAATTAAATACGTACACGTGCACCCTTTCCCTCTAATAAAAACCAAACAAATAAAAAATATATCTCCAAAACACAAAAACAAAGTAAAAAATACCTTAACAAATTATTTACAAATGTGTCAGTATTTTAAACTTCTATATTTTCAGATGCCTACCTGGAACTACAATCAGAAGAAACAACCGAAGGATTGTTTACTGTTTTAGATTTAATTTTGATGAATTCAAATGTTTTACAAGAAACAAGAATTTCATTGATGACAGTTTTAGAACCGTTGTTGTTAGTTGAAAACAAGAAAACTATTACACGAATCTTGCAATTATTTATTAAAAATCACCAAACATCAGTCCCTATATCCAGACTTGTGCAACAATACATTAGCAAGGAGCTTTTACATGCAGGAATTAAAATTTCAGATTATTCTTGTTTAAACGAAATAGTCCCAACATGGTTAACTACAAAAGGAGTACTGAGTTATAATGAAAAAGAAATACTTCTCCATTGTTTGATGCCAACACTATCATGCTTGTGTAATGGAAAAATTACTGAATACAAAACGGAAGCAGACCAACAGGAAAGAAATTTTCATCTTAACAATTTGCGGATACTTACATATCTGCAAGATGGGAAAACTCATAACTCTGTAATACAACTATTGGCATATCAGTTTCAACCACTACCATTATTTTACATCACAGAACGCATGTCCTCATTGACTCTTAACGAGTTTCTTTTACGAAAAAGGAAACAATCAAAATGGCAGCCTAACAAAATGTTAACGTCATTAGTGTTGGAAATTGTTGATGTGGTTATTTTCCTTAAAGACAGAGGTATCATTCACCGGGATCTTACAAGTCATGCATTTAGAATATGTGATGGTGGCCAAAGAATCGTTTTACATGATTTCTCAATAGCATTAATGCTTGAAGGAAAGGATTTCATACAAGGCAAGAACTTAATGCATTCATATGTTACAATCATTTTGAAAAAAGAAAGTGTTACTTAAAAAAAAGTTTTATCATTGTTTATGGTTTAAAAAAAAAAACAAAAAAAAACAAAGCCATTATTTTATTGGTCATTTTACCTTAATAATTGACAAAAATGAAATAAAGTATTCAAGTGGCCTTATTTCTGTTGAAAATGCCCCTGCAAAATTAAAACTGAAATTTTATTAATTTATTACTGGTTTTTTTAATTATTATTATTGTACAGCCGACGACAACCATTTAATTCCCACCTTATGGTCAGCTCCGGAGAGCATATTGGAAGACAAATACAATGTAAAGTCAGACGCATGGATGGTTGGCCATTTATTGTATGAAATTTTTACACATGGATGCCAGCCGTATACAGAGATGTACACATTCGGTATTGACAAGGTTCTTTCCTATGTGAGTAAGAGTAAAAAACGCCAAATAAATTCAGGTAAAAAGTAACATAACAAAAATACCGAACTTCAAAGAAAATTCAAATCGGAAAGTCGCTTGTCAAATGGCATAATCAAAAGCTCAAAAACATCAAACGAATGGAAAACAACCGTCATCTTCCTGACTTGATACAGGCGTTTCTTTATGTATGTAAAGCGCACACGAATTGTATGTTGATGTATGTCAGCTTTGATTGTACAAACAAAAACCTTTTAAAATGTTAACATGCACATCTAAATGATTTTGTGATGAAACTTAGCACTCATATATATATATAAAAATATATATACATATCGAAGTATCTGTCCACAATCAAATTCCTATTATATATATATCATATGTTTACCCTCACACTATTTAGAAAATGTATAGCATACAGTCGGTTTTTAAATTGAAGGCAAACATTCGAAATACACATTTTAATATACTTTTCATTACAAATTGTTACTAGTGTAAATTAGATAAAAAAAATAAACAACAAATATAAAAGGCTAGATTTATGTTTGTATTGATTATATACATTCCAGGTTGTTTTCCATAACCTTCAACCAAAGCAGTGGCAATGTATTCCTAAGTGCATCTTTGAATTAATCATCGCATTGTTACAACGGAACCCAGAAGACAGGTGCGATCTATCTGAGATACAAAATAAACTAAAAGAGACGATAGATATGTATAGCAGTCAAGGTAATAATTCAATTTTGGGGAAAAAAAGCATTGCTCTACATAAACATCTTGTTAGAATTAAATTTACAAAAATGAATAGCCACATTGACAAAATTGTTAAAACCACATCTCCTTTAATACATGTATCAATAACAAAACACACTACGCTAATAAAATATGGATATTTAGGGGACTCTAGGATTTACTGTGATGGATTGAAACTAAACGAACTATTTTCAATTTGGAGTGTCTTCTATAAGAAGAACAAAACAGATTGATATATATGTATATAATTGTAAGCATAAGTCTTATTCTTTTTAGCAGAAGTTTAAGTCATGAATACAACTGTCTAGAACAATGATGTAAGTCTTGCATGGCATGCCATCTTTTTAAGCCTATTTGTATGGTATGGTTTAGTGTTTGCATGTTTTGTTAGATTTAGTCATTTTCATTATTTTTTATTCAACTATTATGTGTGAAATGCTATCTAGAGTTTTGGCAACACATCTTGTTATTTGTTAAAAGCATCTAAACAAAATTCAAAAAAAATAAATTATAGTAAAAGGTTTGCTACAATATAACAAAACGTTAGTTTTTAAGCATACGTTTCCTGTACAATTGAAACGTTCTTCTTTAAAAAAATGATTTTTGTTTTTGCAAGATAAGCTTTTTTCACATTAGAAGCAAAACAAAAAAGTAAAAGTTGTCAGGCTACGATAATTTGATACTTTATATGCGGGTAGCAAGTGGATTTATTGCCATCGGTATACATTCCTTTTTACCTGTTGCTAGATAAGGGTTTCTTTTTTGTTCGGTCAAGCGAAAATCGTTTTTTTTTTATTTTTGTACTCTAGTATTTCCGGCATTTTCTTGGGCAGAATATTGATTGGCATCCTTTCATAGGTAAATTTCAGTTCTTACCAGGCCAGAATATTCATTTCCAAAATTGTCCCCAACAAGCAAAATACAATGGTCATCCCTAATGCACATAGGAGCACGGATCTATCGCGTCTTTTCAGTAATAGCAGATGTAAAGATAATAGGCATGATACATGTAAATGTAATAATATATCTTTTATATGGTTTTCTAGTCATGGACATTTCCAACGTTTCTTTCGAACCCCCTTCTTTATCGGCAATGGGTATATTTTCCCTTTGAACTTACTGCCTAATGTTTTCAAGGTCATGGACAGGACTTGATTCTCGAAAATATGCGGCATTGACGTCAAATATCAGTGCAGGAACGTCACATGTTCTTGTCCATCCGCATCAATTTATCAATGAAATGCACGCGACTTCATTCATACAACCAAACAATTATCACAATGTGTTTTACTAACTACTAGTATTTCATTTGAATTCATATTTTTAACCAAAATAAAACAAAAAAAACACACACACACTTTCGAAAAATTGCCGATAAAAATAATAATGGCATTTTTTTTATACTGACTGTATAAGCTCGGCATAGGGGGTTTGCTAAATATTCTTGCTAATAAAATTAGTATCAAAAATGAAAATGTCATTATTCTCATTATTCTATATATACATGTATCTATTTGTAACCATCTGCATGCAAATTGATATTTGTAATTACAATTAATAATCATAAGAATCCTTTTCTGATCACAATTCGCTACTTTTTATACTCCCGTTTACGACACGTATTATGGTATATCGCTGTCCGTCCGTCCGTCTGTCCGTCTGTCCGTCAGTCCTTCCGTCGTCCACATGTCGTACAATAACTCAAAAAACGCTTCAACCAATTTGCATGAAACTTTGGTGAATTGTTTATATCTGTTGACGTGAGCTCCCTTTCGTTTTTTATAAATTTTAAATTTTACGTTTCGGAGTTATGGGGTGTTAATCATTAGGGGATTTTCCACTTTTCAGACAATAACTCAAAAATGCTGTAAGCTATTTTCATAAAAATTTAATGAATTATTGATATCTATTGAAATGAGCTGCCTTTCGATTTATATAAAATTTAGATTTTATGTTTCCGAGTTGTGGGGTTTAATTCATTACAAAATGGGGGATTTTCCAGTTTTCAGACAATAACTCAAAAATGCTTTAAGCTGTTTTCATGAAACTTTGATGAATTATTTATATCTGTTGAAATGAGCTGCTTTTCGATTTATATAAATTTTAGATTTTACCTTTCCAAGTTATGGGGTTTTATTCATTGAAAAAGGGGGATTTTCCTGTTTTCAGACTATAACTCAAAAGTGCTTTGAGCAGTTTTCATGAAACTTGGGTGCATTGTTAATATCTATTGATGTTGTTCTTTGAAAAAGCGACGGGTGTATCATGCGCTCATGGCGCAGCTGTTTATTATATCTTGATTTAAGATTTACGCCGATCTGAACACCAAATAATATAAGCATGTAATAAAGGAATTCAAATCCGAACGAGTTTTTTTCTGATGCAAGTGTAGACTCCGTGCTATGTAATGTACTTGTCACAACTCCTTGGAATTCGGAATTGACAAGGGCATTCAAGGTCGTCCAGCTGCTCATGTTAGTACAAACCCGGATTCGGTAGGTCACTTTGAAGAGAAGGGGACGGGACTGTAGTTACGACAATTGGACAAACCTCTGTCAATGTGTAACGGATATTCCATAACGGTCAACCAACTCGTGATTGCGTCCGTAAAATTTACAATGGAATGATTTCAAATTCACCACTTGGAACTCTTGGTCTAATAGTATCCTTTTGAATAGCAACCCTCTATCAAGGAAATCATGAAAGGAAATACAAGCCCTGGAATATCGTATCCATTGGGAGATATATGCTCCGTATGCAGGCGCTACAGGAAAGTTCCTATAAAGAAATGGAAATTTCACAATTTGGAAACTGAAACCATCTCTTTTTGTCGAAAAGTATTGTTTTCCACCGACCCCCAATTTCTAGATGTAAGTAAAGATATGAGGCACACTTAACTGTATCAGTTGTTTCCTTTAACTCAATTTCGTTGGGATAGATGCCTTCAACATAGTCACCAAATTTTGAATTATTTAGTATAGAACATCATCTATATAGCAGAGAGTGTTGGGAATCACTTCGTCGTCTTCTATCGTCATCCATGTCATACTTGGTTTACCTCTAATTCATTGCAAACGGATTCAAAAACTTAAATCATACTTGCACATATTATTTTTCCAGAACACGAGGTTTTATACCTGCTGTCACATTTTTGTCCTTTTAATTTAGGGGATTTTCTATGCCGAAACATGTACGCAGTCATTTCTGCTAAATCAATTTCTCTGAAATACTTGAAAACGGCATGCCCCGATTCTTCTGAAGGACATGAAAATGTGGACAATCTACATTCGATGTTTTTATTTTTGTTTTTGGGGGTGGGTTTCCATACTAAAACATTGGCTGTAAAATGTCATTTGGAGAAGAAAGGCGACACCTGATTCCTTGATATGCGAATACGTATTCGAATACGCGAATATTTTATTAGTTTCTTATTGAAAATAACAAGATTGTTACCAAGATTTCACAATAGACGTTAGATAAACATAAACAAATAAGTACATAATTATCAACACTTATAGGTATCTATGTAGTATAGTTCCCATGTAAGATGAAGATAAAATAAAACTATTTTAACATCGATATATTTGTATCTGGCTTCATTCAAAGGAGGTAGTTCCACAATGTATTTATTACTCAACAAGTCTTGCTAAGTGTTGTACATATTGCAAATAAATTTTACAATAGTTCTGATGATATCATTCTTGCCACAAGTCTACATTAATCTATGCTTCATCAGTCATACTCATAAATTTAGGCAATAGCAATTAACCGATGTTCACATCTCATAAAAAAATAATAAAAGGTAACAAACAATCATAGGGGGCATCGGATGAACTCCAAAAAAGGAGCGAGACCGGGTGTGGTGGCTGGGTAGCATATTATGCTATATAGATATAAGAAGATGTGGTATGAGTGCCAATGAGACAACTCTCCATCCAAGTCAAAATTTATAAAAGTAAACCATTATAGGTCAAAGTACGGTCTTCAACACGGAGCCTTGGCTCACACCGAACAGTAAGCAATAAAGGGCCCCAAAAAATTACTAGTGTAAAACCATTCAAACGGGAAAACCAACGGTCTAATCTATATAAAAAACGAGAAACGAGAAACACTTATGAACCACATCAACAAACGACAACTACTGAACATCAGATTCCTGACTTAGGACATGTGCAAACAATTGCAGCGATTTTAAACGTTTTAATGGTACCAAACCTTCACCCTTATCTGAAACAATAGTGTAACATCACAACATAGAAAGACACACTATAAAATATCAATTGAAATGGCTTAACTCAATCAAAAGACATATTAACACCAGTGAACATTCACTGAACAAATAAATTTGATCTATGATACAATGTAAATACAAAATAAATAAACTAAGGGAGAATAATTAAAGTAATATGTTATACCGCTGTGAAATGTTAAACAATATAAGAAAAACAATATGCTATGCACGCATCACCTGTCGCATTGCGAAACATATTGCTATTGAATTGAAACACACCCATTCATCATTGGTCTTTAAAGACGGTGTTTGATTGTAGTCGGGAAAGTGAACACCAGTCATAAACCGTGAGAAAATATGTTAAATTTGATTAAAAAGATGGAAAGATCATAAACAGCTAATATGTTGAACCTGTTATTGTTTGTACAGAAACAGATATCAATATGCGACAGTAGATTTCTCCAGTGGGTTTAAATCCAAACATTAGAACACAATCGTAATTTATGAAAAAAAAGTATCAAAGATACCATTTCGTCTACATAAGACTCATCAGTGATTGTATCAATTAACATTTGGAAGGTCAGACAACTACTATGCTGTATACCTGAGGACGTGGGGAATTATTAGCTGAATATTATATGAATATGAATTAACATTAAAAAAAATTTGTTTCAACTTCGTTACTTTATACTTTTTAATTTTGCTTTGATTTCTTTTTACTACTATCATAATGCAATTCGTATTATTGTATTGTATTTTGTTTACAATAATTTTCAATCATTAAGTAGGATCGAAACGTAGGCATCATTCCCTCCGACATGAAGAGGATACATTATATCCAAGTATAGATCCAAAACAGGACATTCCAATGCGAGTAAGTAATATTTTGTAGTTTAGATAGACGAATTACAAGTTCATTGACAAATCTAATCATTAAGAAATACTTATTAAAAGCAGTGTCGTTATAACTGTATTGCAGCCCAAACCAACAAATCATGTTTGCGTACACCCGTATCTTTGAAAAGAATTATTTTCCATAATGGCACTAGAAGTTAACCGTGTAAATCAGTTATATTATAATGTAATCGTGCCTAAAGCAACCATAGAATACATTTATTTTCCTCACTACAAAAATACAAAGTAGATATAAAAGTATTAGTGCGGTCCTTTATGAAAAGTAACCAAATACCAAAAAAAGGTTTGTCCTCCGTTAAAAAAAAAGTAAAAAAGAAACATTTAGTTGCAAATGTGATATGCGTAAATAAATTGACCTTTCCGTATGTAGAACACGTACAGTAAGTAAGTAAATATTCTAAGATAATTTAGAAAGTCCTTAAATTCTGTGTTTTAGGGAATACCTCAACTTTTTCTGCAGATGAAAAAACAGACCATTACCAGATCCGGTAAATATATTTAGAGGATAAAATGTCAAGTGAGAATTTGATGAGATATAAATGAATTTTTTTTAATCAAATGGAACTGGATAGTATATTTTTTGCTATAACATTTGAAACAAATTTTATATATATAAAAAAGTTTTAACAAAGGTACCGACCTCCAAGTTAAATTAAAAAAAGGAGTAGATCATAAACCTGATAAAGTCACTGAAACCTATGTAAGTAGAACTGATCCTTAATCTAATTGGACGCAATGGAATAACTATGTCACAGATAATCAGGGGTGTGCACTTCTTTTCGGAGCAACAATACCGTCCTTTTTTCCTCGATCGTGACATCACCGAATGTTACTTATCTCGAAATTTATACATGCGTAGCACAACGGGTACCACCATTGAAGCATGTACTGCTTACTCTTCAGCTGAATTGAACCTCGATATACTGTGTGGTTGATTTTGCTCAATCTATAGATTTCTGCGAAGGGTTTTGTTGGCTGTTTAAGATAAAGACTTCTGGACAATCCGTCGATCGATTTAGATTTGTTCACCTATTTCGACTCTTTAATAATATGAAATTGATTTTAAAGGAGACTGACTTATCTGCACTCAAATGACAAGTTCAATTCATCCTATTCAGCTCTCAATACCATTAAAACAATGGCAAGAAGAATTCTTTGTTTTCATTGTCTATGTGTAGTGCCTGTTAACTTTAGCTGTTTGAATGTTTTTGCCATGGGGTAGCCTGTCCAACATTGATTACTATAATTGATTTAACCTTTAGTACCTTTCTATGTTTTTAAAACAACATTTTCACTTAAAACAAAGTCTTAAACGCTTGCCTCAATACATGAAAATGTGTTGTATTTTCCTATTGAAGATCACTTATACAACGCATACACGAACCTTAAAATTGAAGAAAGAAGAAGCCAAATAACAGAAATACAGATTCAGATCTCTGAGCTAACTGCACCAGACAGACCACGTGTGAACATTGAGGTAAGTTACTTTTACTGTTGGTTAAAGATATAAATTTTACGGTTGTTATTTTGAAAATAAGATTAAATGTCAGTTTGATTTATATTTTGATGAACTAAAATTATAAGGTCTTTCCACTTTTTCGTGTACCTTTTTTCTTGCGCTGTTTGTTTTTTTCCGCAATATGTCGCTAAGATATTTGATTTGTGATATCGAATAGTTTATACGTTTTTAAAACTGACACCGATTAAAGCAACACTTTTCTTTGTAAGATTTATCTCCCCGATCACTGTTTTTCTTATGTTTGCTACTCCCTCGCAATATAAGAAATATTTCACCAAATTGCTCTTTATATCCTCAGGATCTTCAGAATAATGTTGACCGAAGAGATTTGGAGATTCCATAGGATAGTTTTTTCCCTTTACATATTCGACGTAAGAGAAATGTTATAGTTACTCATAAACCATAAGTGATTGAGACCTAGGGTCTTTTAATTTGATGTCCATGGTCCACCAAAATGAAAACGAGTTCAAGGTCAAAGGTCAAGGTTATATTCTAAATTTGATTTGGACTTATTTTCGCTTCTTTTCAAAAAAGACATGGACAAAATATTTTACTATATTGTTAGTTTTGACATATTGTAACACATACATTTTGTTTGAAATGGTACGTGGACATAAAATGGGAGTTTTTCCCCCTTTTATATTCAAAATGTAAATTGATAGAACTCATTAACCATATAAAGTAGCGACCTAGAGTATTTTATTTTAGGTTCTTGCCTTATGACCTTGAAATTGAGGTCAAGCTCTCAGTTGTTTTTTTTTTGTGGGGGCGATATTTTTTCTCTCACTGTTTTTCTTGTGTTTGCTACTTCTTTTGTGACAGAATATAAGTTCCCTCATAATATTTGTTCCAAAGAACTTTTAGTATATAATATTTTATCCAATGCTATAAGAAAATTTCCTTCACAGAGGATAAAATATTACATAAGGAAAGTTCCCAATGGAACTTTTGTTATATGCTAAAAGTTCTTTTGAATAAATATTGTGGACAATGTTTTATATAATAAAAGTTTCAGGAATATTTGTTATATTATAAAAGTTTTGAGGAAAATTTGTTAATTCATAAAAAGTTCCAGGAATATTTGTTATAATATAAAAGTTCTAGGAATATTTGTTATATTATAAAAGTTCCAGGCATATTGGAATATTGGCTATATTATAAATGTTCTAGGAATAGTTATCATGGTTATTAGATAATTAAAGTTCTAGAATTATTTATTATATGATCAAAGTTCTAGGAATATATACTACAATATCCATAATTATTTTTAGCTACAAATGTAAGGAAGTAAAATTCCAATAATAAAGTACAGGCATTTTCATCTGAAATTTCTTTAAAGGAACAAATATTATGAAACCATATGACGTTTTAGTTCCAGGAAATTATCTTATGAAGGTGGAAATAATATTATGTAATATTTGTTCCCAAGAACTTATATTATCCATAGTTTTGTTCCAGGGGGAACATGTATTATGCGGAACAAATATATGTTCACACTTTGCAACCGTAAAAGATTTGGAAACCGTAAGTATTTACTTATCTCTTTATTTGCAGCAAAAGTATATGAAAGCCACATATTTTTGAAATCTGTGTAAATCGAGAGCTATTAATTGACACAAGAATTGACAGTTAAAACCGTCAGTGAACATTTTCCAATCGAAATATCTGCATTTGGAGTGGAAAGACCTTCAATCGTTCTCTTTAAGATTGCAAAAGAGTAGCAAACACAAGAAAACAGTGTTTTGGAAGATAGCTCTTACATAGTAAAGTGTTTGATGAAGCAGTGTCAGTTTTAAAAGCATATAAACTGTTCAAAATCATAAACCAACTATATAAGTGACATCTTGCGAAACAACCAAACAGTGAGACAAAAAAATTGTATTTTCTTTTCTTTATTTTTTTCAGTCATCATGTTTTGAATTTTAAATATCGGCAATATTTTAATTATATCGATTGAATAAGTTTCGATCGGAAAAGGGTCATATAGTCAAACATCATATGTCGAATCAAAAATGAAAACACCTTTTGTAAAAACAAAAAGGTTGAAAAGACAGACATCAGTCGACAAACACTGCATAGAAAACTAACAATTGAGAAAAACGAACCACATCAAAAACGAGGATGACATCAGGTGCTCTCGAATGATAAGCAGTTCCTTCTTTGTTAGGAGCACCTGTTTTGTAATCATAAGTTAAATTTTATCGTAATTCACATTATTATAATTTCTTATTTTTTATTTGATTAATTATTTTGATTTAGTTGCGTGACACGGTATATTATATCATACAGATAATATGCATCATTATGTATCTAAATTTTATAAACAGGATAACCATATTCATGTTCGAGAGCCTGTAACAACTAATCTTATAGACAAAATTAGATCACATTTGGAATCAGATACTTTTAACAACGTACTGAAAATGAAATATTGTCCAACATGGACAAAAACAGATGGACAGAGTGACACATACCTTCTTGTAAGTTTTGGCCAAAATGGTATTTTTCAATATAATAGCATATTTAAACTATGAATTTATACGTTTTTGTACCAACGAATTCACACGTTTAACTTTACTTATTCTGTGCTAGAAAATTGTCAAATACATTTTATTATTGATAAATATATCATTTAGCTAAAAAAAAAATGATTCAGCCATCATTTTGGGGACGCACGTTGCAAAAACCCGAGTGAAAAAACAACTTTCCGTTTTGGAATCGATTTTTTTTTTCTTTTGGTATAGAATTTATATATGAAATTTTGTGTTATTAAAAAGAACATGTATAAATCCAAATGAAACGTCTCGAAAAGCTATTATGAAGTCTATTTTTATTTGTTTATTTCGAGAGTGCATATCAATAATGACTTTGTGATAAAATTTCAATGAAGAATCAAAGTAAGATCTCGTTTGTATCGCGAAAACTATGCAGAAGAAACGAAATGACGTGAATGAATTCAACTATTGTTAATTCAGAAATTTTTCCGTGCATTTATCATTGCAATTTTGAAAAACGGAAAAAATCCGAGATAAATTCGAGATAAATTATTGCGATTTCAGGGTATGCAGCATACAAATAATGGTATACGAGTTTTTATATCTCTTCCGTCGCAAATTTTGCAACATACGCATTACATAAAACGTTTTATGCATGAAAAGTCTATTTTGAAATAATCCAGTGTAAACCATCCATCTTATTACCTAAATTTGTTGTGGCCTGAAAAATGTAGAAGTGTAAGATACGCTTTGGTACTAATTGTAAACGGATTATCCTGTGTACGAGAAAATTGAATCTTAAAAGTACTGATTTCATGTTTTATATTTGTCATGACGTCTAGGATTATAGTATGGACTGCAGAACAAGTGTTATGGAAATAGCAAACTCAAGACATTTCGGGGATCCATCTAATGATATTGTTAAAAAGAAAAACATTGAATTAATTCTTAAAATGGTGAAGTTCGTTATGGAAATGAACAGTTGTTCGTGGATTCTTGGATCAGTTCGATGTGCCGATATGTACCTGTCTAATGAAAATGATCAGGTGATTAGTCTACGATGGATAGTTTTGGAAGGCTAGCCTATATCTCTTTGAAAAAGCTAATATAGATATATCATATATGGGTATTCTAAAATGTTATATACTTTATTGCTACCTTAAATATTTTATGTCTCAATTTAAATGTTTCGCAATTCTACATTTCAAACTTACTTGAAAAATTGAATTTTCGTTTCATCTTTCGGCTAACATGCATCATTCTCTGTTGTCAATGTCTGATAGCAATCAATGAGACATTTTTTCACTTTTGTTTTATTTTTATTTTAATTTTGATTTGAATATTTCTAAACCAAAGGTTGCGCCTGAATGCACATAAACATCTCGTGAAATGTACCAGCTTAGTATTTATCAAAGGAACATTATCAAACATTTTTTTAAAAGAGGAAATGAATATATCTCTGGTGAAAGGGTAAAACCGTGTCAGTGACTCTTTAATGTCTTCATTTTGGATTTAGATTTCCTTAGATTGAATTAAAATCAAAATAAACAAAAAATTTGATAAAATGTATATGATTGTCAGGAAATTATTAAGGATTGAAACATAATTAAAAAATTGGATTACTTAACGGGGTCTAATTTTTTGGTATGATTTTTTCGTATTGCCCAATCATTAGTGTTTAGTGTACATTTATCATGGACTACTTCTTGAATTTTGCGATGCAATTGTAAACTGATTTGTTAACCCTCCTAAGCATTTTAAAATGCTTCATAATATTTATCCTTTTAATGAGTTTTTTGTTATGTTTTGATACGAGATGGATGGCACTATGTGCATGAGTACATTTTATTTTTAACTAAAGGTTGTTATGGCTAGATTAGGGAGAATGTTATGGTTTGACCGATCCGGATTAGAAGATGATTATGTGATTGCTAGTCAAGATTGTACAGATAATATGAGATGGTTTGTAAACTTCAACTTAAACGATTGATTTCAAAGTATTCCTGTACCAAGTCAGGAATATGACAGTTGTTATCCATTCGTATGATGTGTATGAGCTTTTGATTTTGCCATTTAATTAGGGACTTTCCGTTTTGTAATTTCCTCGGAGTTCGGTATTTTTGTTTTTTATTCAGAGTTCAAACCCTTTAACATTGAGTGTGCCTCATGAAGTTCATTCGAAAGGGACTACCTTTGAAAACCATCCAAGTATAGCGTAATATATCTTTTTATTTTCACACCAAAAAAAACCTATCTTTTCAGGCCTGATTGAATATTGTATGAATTTAACCGCTTTTGAAAAAGTCAGTTTTTCTATTCGATTTATTGACACCACTAAACTGAAGCAAGAAAAGGTGTTCAGTGTTTTTCTGTATAGCATTCTAGAAGGACAATATTTCATCCAAGGCTATTTGACATTTTAAACCAAAATATTACAAAAAATTTATTAATGCTGCATTAATAGAGGTATGTGGAGACAAAGAGGCAAAAATACTTATTTCAACAACAAAAGTACCAAACACATCTACGATCAACACAAACTATGATTTATTTGGACTTTTTATGACTTTCAATACTTATATTAAATAAGAAGATGTGTTATGATGTCAATCGTCTACCCATCCCCCATACTTTGGACAGTGGGGCACCGCAAGAACAAACGATAAAAAAAAGGTTTAACTCTTCAGAACAACAAAATGTCAAAATGTCAGAATGATGAACATTCACTTTGTTGTTCTTTAGTGTGTAATTCAACGTCTAGCCATTGCAATATAAGTTACATCATAATACATAAGTGTCAGGTAACTACAGTTTTGTTTAGGGTCCAGCTGAAGCACGCCTCCGGGTGAGAGATTTTCTCGCTGTTTTGAAGACCCATTGGAATAGCCTTCGGCTGTTTTCTGCTCTTTGGTCGGGTTGTTGTCTCTTTGAAGCATTCCTCATTTCCATTCTCATGTTTATTAGAATTCTTACCCAGATTTTAATATGTTTATATTACCCTGCAACTGTGATCGTCAATGCAAAGTTGTAGCGCAATTGACATAAATAAAAAATCCGCCAAAACAGGTGGTGCTAGAGGTTGCCTTAAACTTGAATTGAGATAAAAGTTACTTCGAGCCGAATAAAAACAATAATACAGTGTACATTGATTTTGGTATGTCCAAATACGCGTAGAGATTAATTTGTGTCGATGAGTTTTACACAATAGTCTTTCCTTTTCTTTTAACTTATTATTTTGATGTCCTCAAGAAATGATGAATCTTGTAAAAACAAAATATTTTAATAGAGTATTGAAAGGGAAGTAAAACATGTATATTTAAAATAAACAGGTGTCCAGTAGAAGTGCTGCAATTCAAACAGTACTCATTTGCATCAGACGTGTACTCACTAGCTATGACCATCTACGAGTTTTTCATGACTTTGTCTGTTAACCAAAGAGATCCAATGGCAGGAGAATTGGAATCAGCGCCTTTTCCATACGTGGCTTTGGAGGATGTAAGTTTATACCAAACTGAAAAGAGACTATATTATTTCCGTGCGTAGATTGTATATATGAAAGTATTTGAGAGAGATGCAATTTTAAATGCTCGACTACGTGTATCAGTGTCTTACTTCACAATTTCTTTATTTGAGTTATCGGTCCTTCTACATGAAAATAATCTTTTTCTGAATCTTAAAAAAATCAAGATGGTTTCTGTATTTAATTTAAAGGTTTTATGCGTAAGATAAAATAAAATACATTACTCCGTTGAAATAACAAGTACGATAAGTAAAATTCATTTTCTAATATACGTGAAATGGTAATCCAGATCAATTGCAATTCAAGATGGTGGAATTTTGCCATATTACTGTACAGATATCAATCGTGCCAACATATGTTATTACCTTATCAAGATATGCACTTTTGTTCGGTGAAGTAACAGTTTAGATTTAAAGACCCCTATTTTCAGTCGAGGATCACTATGGTTACTAAAACGATTGTAAATGCATATGAAAGGAAAATGTCGAATTAATTTGCAAGTCAATTGCATATTAATGGAATATAAAACACATTGACACCTGCTGTTGTTTTATAAGTTATTGGATTGAGCCTTGTCATAAGAAGATAAAAAAACTGATCTCTTTAATTTATTGTCTAACCATTTTTAAAGGCAGTGCCTTTAGTGGTATCGGGCAATAACCATTTTGTTTCTACGTCGGAGTTACCTCTACGTGAGGGGTAAATACGTCATCACAAATTACCCGAAAAGTTGAATTCTTTCTTCTTCTATTACCGATATTCTGTGTTTTTAATTGTGAGTTAGTGACATTGGGAAGTAAAGAATCAAACGGTGTTTTTTTGTAGGTTTTCAAACATTTGATAGAGTTGTATTTTGCATTATGAGTAGCCAACCGTTTCACAAACCGTAAGAACTTAAAAATCCGTGTGGAAGAGTTCGGGTTTATTTCGAGTGGTATTTTAATCCTAAGTTGTTTTTGATATCATTTCAGTCGTAGATGTAATTACGAAAAGTTGACCCGAATATGCCAAATCGCAAAATGTTAAAAATAACTCCTGAAATCTGATTCTTTTTCTCATCAGAACATTGGGTAGTCAAGGTCGTTAAATAGCCCCTCGTCATCGAAAAGTGCGGGAAAGAAAAATTTACATCTTCAGAACATTTGGTACGTCGAATTTCCGAAATCCGCCTAAACAAGTAATATCCATCTGTTTTCTTTCGAAAACCAGAGCTGTTGAAAATCGTATGACCTTCCAACATAGCTATCATGTCAGACCCTTTGTCAGGTAAACAATTTTGATCTATTAGATCCGACAAAGCTTTTAAATCCGAAACCAACAGTACGGTACCACCGACTGTGCCATGCCCTCATAGGTAATCGAGGTCGTTAAATACCCACTCGTCGTCGAAAAGTGCGGGAAACAGAGAACATTTAAATACACTCGGGGTTTTACCTATATGAATTGAAGATGTAAAAACCCTAGAGTATCTATCTTATCAGACTGACAGTACGAAACTTTCGTTGATTTATACCCTTGCTCAATGCTAATTAACAAGTGATAATAGTTTGATTGAACAAACAACAGGTGATCGAATATTATTCACTCTGTATGGCTTCTATTTATGGTACATGCCTTAAACGATTAAAGAAAAAAAAACAACATTGATAGAAATGTTGAATTTTGTTGTCAAAACATCGATCGGAAGATTTTGATGTCGAAAAATTGATTAATTTACAACTCAGCAAAGAAATGCTCACTATTTCCCACTCCAATGTGGACATTTAGGACCTTTAGCAAGACTCAAAGACAATTCACAGCCTCTTAGTGTTTAAACTGTTACAAGGATCAGGATTACGTTAGTACAGAAACTGAGTCAAATTTAGTATAGGACGCCAAGTTGGATTGTACTTCTTACATGAGCCATTGTTCCAAGACCAGTCCTTTTATTTTATTAAACAACATTCGTCAATGTCATATAGACAGTGCTCTTAAAGCTAATATATCAATGTATATATTAAAGCATTTTAGTAGTAAGTAAGTTACCCATATAATTTATTTACCCTATTCTCTTCCTTTGGAATCGCTGACATGCCTGACAATGTTCTTCATACACAAACACAGGCGTGTATACCTGTTCCCGACCGTATGAGTATTTGGACCATTTTGTTCTTACACTCAGTGTTCAAATTATATTTTCAGACATAAACTTTCTTCTAATCTTAACTTATTTTCTTCAATTATTGTGCTCCTTTTCATATTCATACGATTTTTCTGTTATTGTTAGATACACATTAAATAAATTAAAACAATTTGAAATGGTTAAGAAATTTTTATTCAATAAAAACACCAAAGTAAATTAAAAAAAAAAGAAAACAGTTTTCTGTGAGTTGAGCAATTGACTTCTTGATTAAGAGTTCCTTTAGAAATTTTTTAAAGTTATTTTTACAAGCCGACATGTTGAGTTTCGTTACTTTCGTACAAATGTTAAGACAAATCAATAATGACCATGTTAAAATGATTTTATTATAATTCTTATTTGTAAGTAAAATTCACTTTATTTCATTTGGTCATGACCATACATGTATGGTCCAAATACTTGTATAGTCTGCAACATACTCATCTCAGTCTTTAAAATATATTTCCTGTTTTCAATTGCCATCCAGGCATAATTTGGAATGCTCTTAATCATGATCTTTCAAATAATGTAAAATATTTTGGAAGACATGCTCAAGCTTTGTATATAATTTAACTGAAATTGTGAAATTTTATTTAATCCACTAATTACATGTCTATAATTTGGCTTAAACACAGTCAATCAAAAAAAAGCAAGTAAAAAGGGGGGACGTACGCCCTCTACGCACCACTCTGGATCCAAAAAGCAGTAGGTCAACTATATATTCATTTTCATGGTTCATTGGTCAATGTCAAGTTTTTGTGTTTTTTTGTGTTTTTTTAGGTACTACATGTATTAGCAGTAGGTCAACTATGTTTGATGTATGAAATTATTGTATGGTGTACATGTCGGTTTTGTGGGTGTCATCTGACCTTGACCTCATTTTCAAAGTTCATTTGTCAATGTCATTTTTTTCAGTTTTGGTTTTTTTTCCCTAATTACTCAGTAGTTCAGCAATAGGTCAACTAAATTTTGTGTATGGAATAACTGTAAGATGTACATGTTTAAACATGATTGTAATAAATCTGGAATGTACAATCACAAGACCTGTAGGTAACTGCCTTTACAGCGCATTCGCGCTTTGATTTTATCTGAACTACAGTACATTTTCATACCATTTTAGTTGCGTGACCACCTATTCAGAGATGGAAAGCCAGACCAGCCAGAGGCCTGCCCAGAGTGGTTGTATGTACAAATGTGTCGGTGTTGGAGTAAGGACAAGGACAAACGTCCTACCTGTGAACAACTCTTTAATATCATAGAAAAACATTTACGGTAAATATAACAAGTCTCTTCATTCCAGCAATGTTCTAAATTATTAGTTACATATGATTTTACACGATTGAACTGCAGACATTTTAGAGCACCTTCATTCAACTACAACTATTTAGCAAGGTGTGTGCTACTCAATGTTCCGTTTTCTATGTCGTTTTTTTTTGTGTAGCGTTTTCATTGATTTATCGTCGTTTGTCTTTTTACGGCCATGATGCCGTCTGCTAAAATTCAAAATTTGTGATGCCACATGTCATCCTCTCTCTTTTTTAATTGGTTTAATAGCAATATTACCTTATAACTGTTGACTAGAAAGTGAATCATGTTCCTTTTTTTCTGTGCTTTTTAGATCGGAAGAAAATGTCTCAGAACAAGATCAGTATGACATGATACCAGAACAGAAAGACAATAATGATCAATACGAAGACATTATAGAAAACGGCGCTACAAATATTGCGAATCTTGCTGTTAGTGAAATGGAAGGGGATAATATACATTACCAAAGTATTCCTTTTGATTGTGTTAATAGTGATAGTGATTCTGATGAAAATGAAATTGTACTACAAAAACAACAACAAAAGAAAACTAAAGCAATATATCCAAAGGCTGATGCAAACACAACAGATGGCATGGAATATGGTTTTGTTAGAAATACGGACAACGAGTCGGAATCTACTAGAGTTAATAGTGTGGTATTCTCATTGGACATATGAATCTCCGTTTTACTTTGTATCAGTTTAAATCTTACTACTGTTGAAGTCATATTAAAAAAAAGTGTGGCTCCTATTTAAATCAGAAAATTTTAGATTTAGATTTCTCCAGATTTAACTTCTTATTGAAAATTATTAGTTATCTAAATAAATATTATTTTGTCCTGATCTGAAATGATTTCTTTACTGTACTAATGGTTATATCTAACAGTTTTGATTTAGAAGTATTAAAACAGCTCATCTTTATGACACTAGAAGAGTTAACTCTTTAAAAGAAAAAACCAACACAGATTGGTATAACAAATTTAATAACATAAATGGTAAAAGAAATGTATATTTACTCTCAATAGAATAGAATGGTACGAATAATCTTCCCTCGAAAAAAAACTGTGAAATGGAACTCTTTAATGCATGGTACTTCTTTGCCAGGACTCTATTATGATTCTGGTTAGTAGTATTCATTGAAAACAGTTAACTTAAAAACAGAATAAGAATATGCTGTTATCGATTAAAATAGTAATCGACGCATCCACTTAACTGTAAGAGTTTTGTATAAAATCGGATTGACGTGTTGCTATAAGAATCAATTCAGCACGTATTAAATTTATATTTCTAATGTCTGTATTCGTACCTTTAACACTCCAACGTTCGAGTACACGCACATACGTATATATATATATTTTCTGGAAAAGATTGAGAATATCATATTGTGAACTTTTATTAGAAGAAAAGAAGAATTGTTATTAATGATTTGCGGGTGCCACGTGTGAGGCAGGAAATCCCTAAGTTAAGTTCTAAAGTTAACCTCGGTGCTAACTTTAGATGAATTTGGCCTTTCATTTTAGGTCAATTTTGGTCATATAGCTTTTATGGTAGCTACGTATTTTGCATCCCTAGCTTACGGTTGTTGCGTCCCCGATGAACGTAAATCCAGAAAAGCACATTGGATGCACGAAATTTATTAAGTGCTATTTTAATTTACTAGCACTGGTTTGATACCACTGTTAGTCCATCAGGATGTCATCAACTCAGAAGTTGATGCTCCGGGGCTGACATGATTTATATTATACATTATATCCCATCGAACTTAAAATAAAGGATACAACAGATACAGTGAAGTCTGCCTCATATCTTGACTTACATCCAGAAATTGACAATGAATATCGGTTGAGAGCGAAACTTTACAACAAAACAGATGATTTCAGCTTCCCAATTATGACCTTTCCATTTCTATGTAGCAACATTCCAGCAGCACCTGCAAATGTAATGTAAATTAATATGTTTTTCTGTATACCTTTGTTCAACTTAGGTGATACCAGAATAAAATGATATATAAAGTATATATCTCCCAATTGATACGATATTCCAGAGCTTGCACTTCCTATCATGATTTCCTTGATAGAGGGTTGCTGCTTACAAAGAAGCTATTAAACCAAGTGTTCCAAATGGTGAAGTTGAAATCATCTCTTCGTAAATTTTACGGACACCATCACGAGTTGGTTGACCGTTATGGAATATCTGTTTCAGAGTTGACGACGGATATGTTCCAATTGTCGTAACCACAATCCCGTCCTCTTTTCCTCGATGTGACCTACCGAATTAGACTTATCACCAGATTTGTACTTACATGAGCAACACGACATGTGCCACATGCGGAGCAGGGTCTGCTTACCCTTCCGGAGCACCTAAAATCATCCCGGTTTTTGGTGGGGTTCGTGTTGCTCAGTCTTTGGTTTTTGCCATGACATTTTCGGTTTGTTTTACACTTTTAAGTTTGAGTATCCCTTTGGTATCTTTTGCCTCTTTTATACAAATTTATCTGTTGATAATTAAGAAATTTTAGAAAATTATTAGAAAATTAGTTCAAATTCCCTTAGGCAACGTTTACTTTAGAAAAACTTGACTGCTAATTTTATGTCCCATTTGATCTTATTGCGCCTATCTTTGCTACGTATTATTACATCCCTGACTGTTAATGTTTAGGTTTGAGCGTTCCCGATGAAGATCAATTCTGGGCAGCGCTTCAAATGCACGAAATGTAATAAAATGAATATAAACATCTTTATAATTCTCATAAAAATAGTGTTACCAGATTTACATTAAGAGAACTATAAAATTAGCAACGACTAGAGTCAGATAGAATATATGCAATGCTAAATTTTGATTCTTATGGGCTCTGTAACAAAACATTTGCCAAATGGGTAAATATTGTAAAACATGTTAATGTTATCATTTCAAACAGACTGTTATTCCTGTTCTCTTGAAATCAGATGTATTTATTGTCAGCCCTTTTGTTTTACCATTTAGTTATAATTAGTAACATAATTTATTTCTTCACATCATCCATCAAAAGACAAAGTAAGTAAAGTCAACATATTAATATGATGATGTTTGGAAGAGTATTTGGCAGACTGTTTGGCTGAAGTAAAAGCTGTGATCGGTAAAATGTTGATTTTCTGTTGTTGTTTTGTCCTTATTGTTAATTCAGGAATGTCTCACCACTCAAGTACTGGTAACTCATTTCCGTTTACGGTCTATAAACAGCACGCAAGACAAACACATTTAATATTATGTTAAAGAAAGCATGAGATGTATCAATTTCTCACACTGAATCACTTCACGTACATGATTAATCCAAAAATAAAGTAACCACACTTTTATTTCTCAAAGTCACACTAAAGGCTTCAACATTTAGTAAAAACGCTCACTTCACTGCAAGTTCAAGAGAGCCCGTTTCACAGGTATGAGCAAAATTATTTGGAATATCGTTCACCTTAAGTATGTGCATTCACGAAAACAACTTCGATATAATATAAGCAAATCATAAATTGTATTTGTCTTACGAAAACACTCATAAATTGAATTATGTGCGTATGTTATATGAAACATAATTTACTTCATATTTTCTGGTAAAACACAAAGCAAGTAAATAAGTCGGGGAAACATCATTTGTTTATAACTAACTGCGAAAAATCTTTGTTCTCCATCAAAACAAAGTTTTATTAACATATTTACATATATGAAATAGATACATTAAGTACCCATTCTCCCGGCCTCGTACACATTAGTATTCGGCATATGATATGGTTAATTGTGTTTGTATACAAATTTACATTTATTCGGATATAATTTATGTCTTTACGTTAATAATTTTGTCTTCATGAAATGTATTGATTACAAAAACGTGTAGTGCTATGGAATATCTGATTACATAGATTAAACATGGAATTTTCATAAATATTTGTTATGCAGAAATTCCGATATATTATCATTTGATTATGTGGTCATTGTTTGTGTCAAATTCATATATGTTTTACCAATATATAATTTATCTAGAATACAATAAAATAGAGTGATGTATCTACCAGATCATGCAATTACTAAGTGTTCTTGTCATGTTAGATACCTTATAGCCTAAAAATCATTGTATAAATAAAGGAAAAGTTGAAAAAGGCTAAATAGTGAGAATAAAAAGACAATTGCAGACGACAACAGTCAAAGCTCTATACATTATACCTTTGTGTTTTAATAATGAATATGTTGATGAATTATACAGTTATACATCATCTTCATCACTGAGTCATAAAAGATCACAACTCAATCTTTTATTAAAAAAAGAACTGTAAATCTACATTGTATCTGTATTTGAAAGTAAATATATTTTTACCAATATAGCAATTTTGTCTTTTTGTGTTAATCAAGTTTACACAACTGTCCTTATATATTTTGTAAACTAGTCAATTACAGCTTACTTTCCTTAAGATAATTTACTAATCTTGTATCCTAAAAACGTTCTCGTCTTAATATAGTTTTTGCTTTCATGTCTAAATATCTTGAGAGACAGCACAGTTTTTATTTTCTGGTCTGACCTATAGCATACTTAAGTTCATAATACTCTTTGACATATACTTTACATCCAAAAAACAAAAGTTTTCAGATTTATATCTTCTGATTGAAAATTGCGAAAAATCTCAAATCGGTACTAATGTCGATCTAATGTGTAAAGTCTATTTAAACTGATTTTTATAGATTGCTCTTTTACTGTACTGTTACACCATTCTACTATGTGAGGGGAGGGTTGAGTGCGCACTCACATGTAAACTCCGCCACATTATGTATGTTCATGTCCAAAGTGAGGAGTTTGTAATTAAGTGGGTGTCGTTGGTCGCTGTTTAGGTTGCACTTCTGTAAATATAGACAATGCAATTCCCCATAGGAACTCTTTTTACGACTTAAAGTGTGCCAATTTTACTATGAAGTTTCGTAAAAAAATATATCCTAGAATGGAAAGTTCTTTTGCACTGCAATTTTTTTCAAAGGTCAACACATAGGGCTGTGCGGCAGATTTTGAACATTTATATGCCTCGAAACTTCGAAGAGTTTAAATTTACACTAAAATTTTGTACTACCCCTCCCTTCACTTAAGGTCTTCCTCGGAATTCAATTTGGCCGCTATCCATGTGTATTTATGGTAGTAATACTCCAAAGTCGTGTCTCTATGAGATGAAACATAGAGATCATACAATAAATCTGGGAACCAGTAGGTAAACAAAACAAAATATCTATGAATTTTACATATCTCCCAAAAAGAGGTGTGGTTTGTGAAACAGCTATATTTACAAAGTGAAACCTTTATCATATTTGGTCTTCGTTTAATTTTTGTACGTAAATCAGGCTTGGTTTTCTCGTTTGAATTTTTCTACTGTTGCCTTTATTTGTCTGAGGGAGTTGAAACATTAGTTTCTAAATAATTTTTAAATAAAAAAAAAGTATTTTCCAGTAAACATCATATGTTAAAAAGATGACTTTATAATAGTAATATGATTTTGTAGATTTCAGAGTCGCTTGATATTCAAAAAGGAATTACAGCAGAGCTAGCCTACTATATAACCGTTCCATTTGGTTGTCTATCATACAATGATAGAATACGTCCATGCTTCATAGAACTGAATATGTTGTCACCCGGTTATACAGATGAGAATAAATGCTATGGCGATATAGTTTACCTACAACACTGTCGAATAAAAATATGGAGAGATGCATTTTAATTTACGGGCCAGCCGAGGACCATCTCCGGGTGCGGGATTTTCCCGATGCATTGAAGACCCATTGGTGGCCTTCGGCTGTTGTCTGCTCTTTGGTCGGATTGTTGTCTCTTTGACATATTC